ACAACTGTTGGCGGATGTAAGTTAATGCAGACGTGATTCCGCATGGCCCCGCTACACTTCTGATAACCATATTGCAATTGCCACTCTTCGGATGGGAGCTGTTGTCGGGGCGCACTGTGGCGTCGGCGGCAAGTCTTGGTCGCACCTCCAGGCGCTGTGTCGAATCCCACGTTCTCATTTTGACAGCTCCGCTCGCCCGCGGAGACTGTAGCCGAGATATCATCTCGACGTCTGCTTCGTGCTGGAGACTACACACCTTCAAACACTACTAGGAAATCGACCACACTTCCCGTTTCCTCGACATGCAAATACCAGAAAGTTAACATTGAACGACTGACGGCGTACGACCAGCACTACAGTCGGGTCGCACCCATGACTATCTCGACACCCCGATAACTTACATGTGCACGAACAGAGGCTCGTAACGGAATCTATCTGTGTCGCTTCATGGGCCTAGCAAATTGCACTTGGGCCGAGGTAAGATGATAATCTGCAAAGGGAACCACATAGGGTCAAATCTTCCTGCACTCGCATTGATGGTCAGCTATCCAACCAGGAACTCATAGTGGGCAATGCGTACTTGGAGAAGTAGAGTCCGGATCGATCGTCTATCCTGCGAGCAAGGAAGCCCGTGCATCTGCGGATACTGCAAGTTGCGATGGCTGTGGCTTGGTCTCGAGCGGCGCAGTATGGGGCTGTGGGTGCCAAGGGATGTATATCCCAAGCCTGCACTGATAGGCCGCTCGCTGCTGCCATGAGCGCATTCTGGCCTTTCTGGTCGGCTTTATGAGGAGACATGCACCGTGTGGTCGCTCATGAAGATGTGGAGAGGGAGCGGCATACTCCTACTATTTATTTGGTATGATTATGCTTGCTTGCATAACAAGCAAGCATAGGTTGGTGGGAGGCCCGCAATGGAGACTGCGGGGGATGCGGACAAGACGTTCGGACTGCGCACCGCATGCGCCGCCATACAGTGTCCAATCGGGATGGCAATCGCCGGGCCATCTTGATACGGGCTATAATATGTAGGAACCGCTTCCACCCAAACTCGTCACTTCAGCTCATCGCAAGCACCCTGTCTCTCACCTCCACCTCTTTGCACGACTACACACCATGGTATGCGCGTACATGCAATCTGTTCATGCAGAATTCACACTCACACGACTGGTCCTCGCCCGCAGTCTTCCGGCGTCAGTGTTGCCGATGAATGCATCACAGTCTACCAGGAGCTCATGAGGAGGAGGCATAAATACGTTGTTTTCGGCCTCAACGCCCAGTTCACCGAGATCGTCGTCCTCAAGAAGTCCGAGGAACAGGACTACGAAGTCTTTCTCAAGGAGTTTCCCCCCGACCAGTGCAGATGGGCAGTCTACGATCTCGAGTATTCTACCGATGATGGCGGCAAGAGGAACAAGGTCGTCTTCGTCTACTGGTGCGTCCCTATATTACAATGTGCCGTGCCACAACTGACCCTTCGCCACGTAGGTCTCCTGGTAACTCATCGGTCAAGCAGCGCATGGTCTACTCCGCGTCGAGCAACACCTTCAAGGCGCGTCTCGGGGTCGCGCTCGAGGTTCAGGGCAACGACGAGGACGACCTGGAGTTTGTCAATGGTGAGTCTCCGTGTCTTCCCACCTATGATAAAATCTAACTTGGTGTCTCCCAGTCCTCGAGAAGGCGAAGCGCAACACCCGGTAAAGATATCCCCTAATTGGTTATCTCTCCTTGCTACCTTACCTTCATCTTCTACTCTCTACGAACGCGTTCCGGCTGGTATTATCGATATCAACACTGTAGAGGTTGCGGTACGATGGCCGATGTTAACATCCATAATCCAAATGAATTATACGTGGAAATCTGAACAATAACGACCTTCGTGGCGATGTACGACGCATGCGGCTGCTGAGTTCATGCAATACGTGGATGCAAAATCATTACTGCGAGTATCCAAACGACAGTAATGTACACGAATTCCCGGCAAAGATTAGCTATGGAAAAAAGTGTCCCTTCCTGTGACATGGCGGTCGCGAAAATCGCTCAGGACTCCAGAATGCCAACCTCCTTCCATCGCTCCCATAGAGCACCGACTGCTACAAGCTGGCCTTGTTGACCCTTGATGTCCTTGATGTCCAAGAGCTCGTACTCCCTCCCGAAGGCAAGGAAGTGCGCGAATAGCGAGTTGAAGTGTGGCTCGGAGCGCAGGTGCAGAATCTGAGGGTAGTGCGCGTGATACAGATGCGCAAAGACACGAAGCAGCTGGCGGTAAACGTGCTTTACGGTCGACGGGAATGTCGGCGCAAAGTCTTTGCCTGTGCGCGAGTTTAGCCATCCGGAGTATGTGTACGAGAACGTTTCACACACCTGACTTCGTGGGGAACGTGTTATCGTCGTCCAAAAGATTTTGAACCCAGGTCATCACATAATCTATGTATGTTGGCGCAGGAAGCTGCACGCTCTTGCGATCTTGGTTAATCCAGGTATAATTCAATCTACACATCATAGTCTGTAAGCGAAGATGGTCGTGATCTCAGTGCTGGTCACGTACGCTGAACCAGCAGACATTGCTGGACACGAGTGCTGTGTGCAGCACTCTGCTAGCACTCCGTAGAACAAGTTGAGATTTTGGTAGAAATCGAAGACTGCGATTCGACCCGATCAGCTTCGGTCACTGTCTCTGAGTTAACACGTCACGTACTATTCACTGCAACCCACTCCATGATGTCGGTATACTTCGGCTGCATTACGATCGTTTTGAAGTTGCCCTTCACGAGCGCGGCGTCGACGAAGGGACTACATAGGAAGAGCGGCTTCTGCTGGGTGGTGCCTTGTATGTCGCCTGCAGGTGGTGTCTGAGCGTCAGCAGGGAAAGTGGCAGACGTGGGCGTCGTGGATCGTTTTGGAGGGCGCGGTGCACGTTGCATGGACCGTCTGTGCGACGACGAACACAATGTCAGCAGGATGCACACCTTAACAGCCCTAACAGACAGACCCGATGGAGTTGAAGAAAGACATAGTACTCCAATATGCTTCGTGTACAAAAGGCCGAAGGTGTGAGTGCGATAGCCTCTACCAAGTCCAAGACAAGTCGTGAGGGGTAGTGGAAGGAGCAGAGACAGCGAAGCGGTCCTTTGAGACGGTTGCGAAGCTAAAGCAATTTCCTTTTACGGGTGAGTACATTCTCGGCCTCCGCCGGCTCACCCGCAGCACATGTTCATCGTATACCGTTGCTAAGTTCATCAATCCAATAATGGTATACTTCTTCGCGATTGTGCCGAACTGTGTATGCACTTATATCCTTTGAGGCCCAACCGAGACTGCCATAGAGACTAGCTAGTGACACGCCGGTGTATTCACACCAATACTGTACATTTGTTTCAACCGGCTGGCAAGACAGTACAAACACCGCGAAACACCGGAACTTAATTGACATTCCCTTGCCGAGAGATAAATCGAGCTGTGGTGGCTATCTACGCACCAGGCGGCGGGGGGCTATGGGAGCAAATTGTCAGCGAAGGTAGCTTTGTGGCTGTTGGCGGGCACGTACATGCGCGCAACCGAGGTCTCGGGGCCAGGGAGAGTCGTGAGGGTCGGAAAAGGCGTGGACGCACACTACAAGGAGAGCGGTCAGCGGCTTGCACGCCTGATGCACAGCGTCGCGGGGGTACGCACGGCCTGCTGGACATCGGCGACGGTCTTGCCGGCGGGGAAGAACGAGAACGGGCGGTTTCCGGGGATCGCCCTTGAGAGCGGAATGACGGCCGAGCAGTCGGTCATCACGTCCGGGTTCTGGCCAAGCTGGGTGAGCGCGAGGAAGATGAACTGGAAGTCACTCGTCAGCTTCGATTGGTTGTCTGCGGGGGGCATGGTGAGCGTGTTTCTGCTACGACGAGGAATGCACAGAGCGGTACGCACTGACAAAGGACTGCCACTCGCAGGCTGTGCGCGAGTCGCGCGCGATAGAAAAGTCGGACTGAAGACGCATCTCGCCCCGGAGCGGCGACTCCACCTCTCCCTGATTGCCGGAGGAGCTGAACAAACAAGCGGTGAGCGCTCCGCGCACACAGGCACTCAGTCAAAGATAACATACCCCGGGAAGCCAGTGCCAACGAGCTGGGTCTCGACAAAGAACTGGGAATCGAAGATGCCAGGAGTGGAGTCAAACGGCAAACCCTCGATGGTCGGGTCAATGTCGTTGGAGGCGGCAACGGAATGACTGGGGTTGGATGGTCAGTGTATATGCGGTAGCAAACGCACGGGCTACTCACGCAGAAAGCATCCAGACAAGTTCGAGCTCATCGAACTGGCCAGCATCGTCAACGCGAGCGATGATCTTGTCAACGGAATCTGTGAAGGTGATAAGTTGGGGGATGGGTGTCCGTGCCGTCCTGAGACCATACCAAAAGGCTCGGGGACAAGGCCATCGGGAGCAGCTTGGGTGGCTGTAAAGCACGAGTCAGAGCTCTGTTTGCTGGAGAAACTTGTTGAGCGTACCGGGAGCGCGTCCGGTGAAGAAATTCATCTGCGGAGCACCGGGGCAGTTGCTCATCGCGACCGCACCAGCGAAGGCAATGAAGTCTCCGGGTGTGACGCCGTGCCTCTGCACAAAGGGCTTCTGCAGCTTAACAATTTCGTCAAGGCCGACATTTGCCTCGAAGTTGGTCTCTATCTCGTCGAAGATCATGATAGAGCCATCGGCACCTCCACCACTGGCACGCAGTATTGTGAGATACTAAGACGACGCCGAGGGCAGCGAATACATACCCGAACTGGCCCTCGGCCTCCAGCGCGGGAGAGATAGCGATGGCGTCGTGAAAGACGCTACGACTGTGTCAGCGCACAGTCATTGAGTAATGGGCATTTGCCATCCTTACAGACGGATAGACTCATGGGCCTCAGCACCACACTGGCCGCCGTTGAAGAGGTTCTCCTGGATGTCTTCGAGGACGGTGAACCAGGCGCAGCACGATTCGTTGCTAACGGCGACGCCGTTAGAGCAAGTGGCACGCTTCTCGACGACAGCACCTGAGACATCGTCGTCAGCGCCTTGCAGCGGCTCCTGAGCAGGCAGCCACGTACCTTGAACGGCGCGAAGAGAGAGAGCGGTGAAAAGGACGCAGAGCAGTTTCTTGAAGGCCATTGCTATACAAAAGTGACTGTTGGAGTGTCTGGAGAGGCTGCGAGGGACCTGGGGATGTCCGGTATTCTTGTACTCATTTTATACCCTTTCGCATATGTACGACGGCTTTCCGACGGGTAGACCTTTTGTCGTCGACTCTCGCTGCAGTTAGCCAAATTGTGCGCTATCAGCTAGGTCGTGGAGGCATGAAGCACCGTAATGGCTAGTACAGCTTCCCATCCCGACGTAGGGGATGCGGTGCCGTGGTTTTCCTCAGGTTCGAGTATGCGACCTCGTGTAACGCAGGGCAGGATGAGAGAAAAGAGACAGAACGACATCAGAAACGAGGATATTAGCTCAATTTCCCAGCCACACCTGAAGGAAAGTCAACGGCTATGCTCACAAGGCACACGAAAGCGACCTACTACACCCAATCCATGGTCTTGTTCGAGCTGCTTATTGGCCGACAAGACACAGTACATCTCATCTATGGTTCTTCTTCATCCTGACTGGAAGCGATAGCATCCAAAGAGCTGGTATGCGTGGACGGCGTCCTCGGAAATAGATGTGTTCGGGTACCGAAGACTGGGGTTCACTAGAAGTATTCATAAGCAAAAATATCAGCATAGAGCAGAAAGTTGCTGCATTGCAGCATGCGCCAGGAGAAACGTGTACCAAGACTGTGACTACTCGACTTGTAGAGAGGGCTTGGGCGTCGCCAATCTGATTAAAGGGCTGGAGGAAATGTACCTTGCGTTTGGTGTCCGGGTTGGGAAAGTGCTGTAGAACAGCTTGCATATGTGCCAAGCCAATCTGCGAAGCCTGTTTTCCAATTTACTACATCAGAAGTGGCTCGGGTCCGGACGTCCTCGATGTCTTTTTCAGTGATGCTCTGGGACTCCGACTCATGAGCCCGCTCGCGTTTCGGGACGGCTCTCATGCCAAAAAAGACAGCCGCTTGACGCGTTGCTAAGTCACAAGGAACTGCTCCAAGACGGTCAGCAACACGGTCAGTAATATAAAAAGAGAAAGCACTTTGATATAATCTATCCATAGAGTTCCGGGGCCGACAGTTTGCATGAACTGCTTGATGGCCGTTCCACTACGTGGAGGCGGCCTGGAATGGGCCGAGCCATTCAACTGCTGGCCATTTTTGAGACCTGCTCGTCCGCTATAGCAGAATCCCGACGGTGCCGACTGTTCCCTATTCTCACATTAGGCTATATCCTCGCACGTGAACCTGATGCCACCGGCTGTGCCTCCACGGACAAGGGAATATTGCCACGCTCACTGCACTGCCTGGAAACCTTTCCACACATCATCTGCCCGCCGTTCACACCAGCATGGGAGTGCAAGTGAACAGCCCAAGAGCAGCATCAAGGAGCAGAGTACTTTGACCTCGACAGCCGTAAACGGAGGACCTTGTCAAAGTCACTGAGCGTCCGACGATACGAAATTGAGGAATGTGCGAATATAACGGGTACTCGAAGGCACGCTGCTTCCATGGCCCCTCCACCTTCGTTGGATGTCAAAGCCCAGATAGACTCGCTACACCTCTGCCGAGTACGAGGGCGACAAAACCAATATCAAGAGCGGGAGTTACGCAACTTAGTGCTCCAAAGACCAGGATAGCGCCACATTCAAAGAATGGATGTCGGTGGCTCTAGAGTTTGGCATATAGCGGGAGCGGAAAGCTGATAGGCGGTAATCGTTTGAAGTGAAGTGAAGCCCGTACTCTAACTGATCGTCAGCTGAACACTTGTGGACTGATGTGGTGACTGGTAGATGTAAGTGCCCCCGATGCGGGGCCACGGCACCAGAGTTAAACCTCGCTCTAGCTAAAGCAGCGGCTTTAAGGGGTAGTCTACTGATATCCGCTATCTGTTTATCTCGGCGCCGTGAGCGATGTAGATGCAAGCGATGGCTTGACTGCCTGGCAGCCTGGCAGCTGTCTAACTTGAAGAAAGAGCGAACAAAATAAAATAAGTCGTCACTGGCTGTGCACAAAAGGCTTTGAAATACTTATACGTAGCGTCTGATTCGTGTTCGCGCACGATATGTAGTCCTCTAGTTGTGGTAACCGGCCGTTAAACAAAGTACGTGACCGCTGCCAACCTGAAGAGACCAGTGCCCGGTTATCTACTAGATAACACTGCTTTGATACGTTTTACTGAGTTGGAGTAGTGCACAGTTTCTGCTTGCACGAAATCTTTCGAACCCTCCATGATGCAAATAAATTTTGGCAGCGACGATCCGAGTTTGAAAAGCCTATCATGGCCGACATGTACTCGAGAAGGCGGACGTACGAAGGCAAAAGATGTTGACAGAACGAGCATAGCGTTTACTTTTGAAAGTAACGTAAGCTGAGCGAATGTTAGGTCCAGAGTGGAAGATGACGGTTCTGAGCAAAGAGTTGCCGTGCAGAGGCCAACAAGCGCCATTGTCGTGGCGCCCACTAGGGTTAGGGCTCGCAATGGGGCTTGTCTAGAAAAACGCGGACACGTCCGTAGAGGTAAACACAGACTGCAACATAGGCGTATATAATGCAGACAGACAGCAGATATCATAATCGATGGTCACACAAGTATCAATTCCGGTCCTAGTCCAAGCCGCCTTCGCCCTGCTACAGCGATTTCTATCTTTTCGAGCGGTGTTCTAGCCCACGGGTAGGGGGTGGCTTTCACCTTCTCTTTGTCCACCGTAACAGTCCGTAATCGAGGAAAAGGATCTGCCGCGTCCGGCGTCCGCAAGTGGTGCTCAAGGCACCCTGCGAAAAGCGAAAGGCTGGCTGGACAGGCAACGTACAACACCTCCAGTTCAGCGGCCCTCCCCCAATGCGCTAAACTGAGCCAGTCCCATCCAATGCTTGGGGCCACTTTCTCCACGGCCATGTCAACGACTGAGGAAAGGAGAGAGCTTTCCCAGATGTGATAAATTAACGCCACGACGTAGGGCTCGCTCTCGCCGCTGAAGTCAATCGAGACGCGTAGCTGTTTGTGTACCTCGGCCGCCTCTCCTCCGATAGTCTCTGCCCGTCTCTTTCGACCTAGGCTAAAATCTAGCCACTGGCCTTGTGGAAAGTTCGATTCCATGGCAATATGAAAAGAGTCGAGCGGAGTGGGAAAGGTGGACATTTTCGCTGCAAGTGAGGTGATGACGGATTTGACAGCGGGGAGCGGGATATCCCATCGTAAAGGTACAATCTCGACATGAATGCAGGCGTCCGGGGGGAGGGAGACAAGCGAGAGTAGATGTGCCGCGCTGTTGGCTTGCAAAGGGTATTGGGTCACATGGAACGAGCGCAGGTGCGGCAGAGAGACTCGAGCCCCGGAAGTATCCGAGAGTGTGGAAGCTGAAGTTATGGAAGCGCGCATGAGATGCAGCTCCTGCAGTAATGGAAGACCGCGCAGGGCGTTGAGCCAGTCAACAGCCGAAGGAAGATCTCGTTGAGCTAGCCCAGACACTCGCAGGTAGGTTAAGGTGGGTCGAAGCCACCCCCTCAGCGACGCCCACCCACAGAATCTGCAATCAAGGCTCTTGAGCCGGGGAAGAGCCGTCTCCGCCAACTGTCGGAAGTCTTCGCTACCGTCCATGGAGACGAATAACTCTTCCAAGAGCGGCATCTCCAGGGGAGAACTCAGCTCGCGCGCCATTGCCTGGGTGATCACAACCTCTGCGCGAACCCAGCGGCTGCACTCGCGCCAAAGGATAGGGAACCATGTCGCAAGGGTCTCGCCCCTCGCACGCCTGGCTTCAATATCAATGGGGCATCTCCGCGAACGTTCCAAAAACGCCTGCACTCGTTCTGGTTGGCCATCGATCAGGATAATGCGGGACCACAGGGCGGCGCGGTCGTTCAGCACGCGGCGCCATGCTTTGCAGACCTGGCCGAGGACGATCCAGCCATGCGGGCGATCTTCTTCGCTGTGATAGAGAGGCGTACCTCTGAAGTCGTGCATGCGTGCGAATTTGAAGAAGATGTCGGCCAGTATGTCCTCTGGAAGCTGGGCGATGGGAGACATTGATTGTCCACTATTGACGCCGTGCTCTGACTCTGCTTTTAGCGAGGGCTCGTTGGGACAGTCCGTCATTTCTGCCAGTAGTAGCGATGTTATTTGAGCTTTCGTAGCCATTTGAGCTACTTTCATGGCGAACATGTAAGGAAACGTACCGTTTGTGCTCGGCCGCCTAGGCTTAGTCTGTGATTCGGCGCTAGGTGCTCTAAACTGCGTCTTGTTTGGCATTGTTAGGATTGAAAGGCTTTGCCAAACAGGGCCAAATATGCGGCTATGTGTGCCACTTTCCGAACGAAATTACACAACCACCACGACAGGCCAGGGCTGCAACCTGCCTGCTCGCCGCCTCCCATGACCAGAACACGAAAGCAGAGCAAGGCTGCGGCCGCTGCTGCTGTTGACACAGGCACTGCCGAAACATCTCCTGCGCCGCCAACACTACAACAAACGCAGACCCAGGCTGAGCTGCACCTTGCTATTCCTGACGACATAAACTTGGATGTGCTATCCACCCTTCTCCCCGACGCGCAGCTGGATGTACCATCAGCTGATACTGTCGTAACCCTCTACCGGCTTGTTCTCGCGCAGGTCTCTGACTCCGATCTGCTTCACCGAGAACTCGAGGAAACAAAAGCCGAATTGCAGCGGAAAGATGTGGAACTCGACCAGGCGCTCCAGGATCGCGAGTCTGCGGTGCGAGAGCTGGAAACCGTATCAGGGAGTCTGCAGAACGAGTTGAATCAGACGAGACAAGAGAAGGAGGAGATACGTATGTTCTCCGTGTCGCGTGCCGTGGATCCGCTTACCTACATGTTGTTCTATCAGTCGCGTCCAAGGTTGCGTTGGGGGCTCAATTGGCCTCATTATCAACTTCACAAAGCTCCACATCAACAGAAGTCGAGTCCCTGAAACATCGCATCGAGGATGTTGAACGAGAGAAGCGGGATCTTGTCGGTGTCGTAAGCAGGCTGAAGGAGGATGCTACCCAGCGTGAAGGTGATTATGAGTCTATGCTGATCATCGAATATGTCTGAGCGGGTATGACAGAGGAGATTCAGACGCTCCGCGGTAACCTCAAGCAGGCACGTCAAGAATACCAGGCTCTGGAAAGCCAGGTACGGGAACTCAGGTCAACAGAAACATCTACCAAGGTGCGTGGCCTGTACCTTGCCTTTCGCCTGCATGACTCACAGAGCAACTGGGTTTATAGTACAAACTCGACTCGCTTTCGCAACAACTGAAGCTCGCGAGGGATGAAGCAGAGCGCGCATCCGCGGACCTTGTTGCAAAATCTGAGGAGTTCGCCAAGTACCGCCGTACAAAGCATGCCGAATTCGCACAGCTGCAGGCTGCCCATGACTCCCTTGTTCAGACACACGCTGCAACCGAAAGCTCGCTGAAGACGCTCCAATCATCTCACACGGCACAGTCACATCAGCTCACCCAGACTCTTGCGCGGATCCAAGACTTGACGGGACAGCTGGCCGAGCAGGAGGCTACGTACTCGAGCGAAGCTGCGGGCCTTAAGCGTCTCGTTGAGATGATGGAAGAGCGGGAGGCACAGGCGAAAGCCATCGTCGAAAACATCGAGAAGGAGTGGGCAGGTGTCGGCGAACGCGCTGAGCGCCGAGAAGTTGTTCTCAGGGAAGAGATCGAAGCGCAGAGGCAGCGTGCAGAGGAGGCCGAGGGCCGAATCTCTGAACTGCAGAGGGTCCTGGATAGTCTTGACCGCGGCGAGTTCCCTATTCCTGGTACACCCGGTGGCGGCGTTCCTTTCACTCCCGCTCGTGGCGTCCCTGTGACTCCAGGGAGCCGTGCTTCAGGGGAGTTCCTGGGCATGGAAGGTATGATGGGCCTAAGTCCGACAGTTGCCATGGCCAGTCGAGCGCAGAGGGGCGGCAAGACGTTCACGGAGGTTTATGCCGACTACGTCAAGCTTCAAGACGAGTATGCGAAGAAGTGTGCCGAATACGACCATATGGATAGGACGTTGGCCGCCGTTCTGGCTCAGATTGAGGAGAGGGTGCGTAGAATCTCCGACTTGTATGCGCAATCGTGGCTTAAGTCCTTCGTGACAGGCACCCATCCTTGCTCAGCAACGCCAGGAATATGAGCGTTTGCAGTCAGAAGCATCGCTTCTCGCCTCCCAGCTGTCACAGGCTATCGCTGAACGCGATGCTAATGCAACCGCCGCTGAAGAGAATGGACAGAAGCTAGTGAAGAGCACTCGCGAGATTGAAATGCTCAACCAGCAGCTGAACGATCTTGGCCATCAGGTGCAGGCGTTGCTCAAGGAACTCGGCCGCCGTCAGGACTCCTCCATCCCCTCAGACTATGAGCTCGACGCGAACACTACCATTCAGCCTGCGGAGAACATCGAGGCGGTCATCACCAATAACCTCGTACTCTTCAAGTCTATTCCCGCGCTTCAGGAGCAAAATCAGAAGTTGCTCAAGGTCGTCCGCGAGCTCGGTTCGAAGATGGAGATGGAAGAGAGGGAGTACCGCGAGCAGCTCGAGGCGGAACAGCAAGCCGCGCTTCAGGAGGCGTACACCGCCGTGAAGGAGCTCCAGGACCAGCTCGAGAACCAGAAGAGGAGCGGCGAGGCCACGATACAGGCATATCACAAGGAGCGCGACGCGCTTAAGAGTATGCTTGTGCGTGAACGTGGTATGGCCGGCCATTCAAACGGTATCAGCCTTGATGAAGAGATGACAGACCCTTCTGAGGCCGTCAAGGAGCTTGAGGAGGTCCAGGCGCACTTCGAGACATTCAAGACTGAGATGGGCGTTGATTCTGGAAGGCTGAGGGAGGATCTTATTGCTGCACGCAGCGAGAAAGCTCAGTTCTCTGCTCAGCTCGCGAAGGCGAACGCCAAAGTCGAGTACCTCAATGGTAGGGTCGGACTCCGTAGCTTGAGGACATTGCAGACTGACCTCGTCTTCAGATCGTCAGAGAATGCTCCAGGAACAAAACGCAATGCAGTCGAAGGAGATCGACAACCTCTCAAGACGCAACCAGGAGCTCTACGATCAGTACGCACGCGTCGACATCGAATGCAACCGCGTCTCGGAGGATCTTGTCTTTGCCACGACCGTGATTGAGCAGCTGCGCAACGAGACGGCGAACCTGCGTGCGGAAAAGAACATCTGGGAGAGTGTGCAAGCGCGCCTTGTCGAGGAGAACAAAAGTCTCGCAATGGAACGGTCGCATCTGTCCGACCTCATGGCGAACGTTCAGCGGATGCACCATGACTTGGAGCGCTCCGGCGAGAATGATCGCCGTCGGCTTGAAAGCCAGATTCAGATGCTGGAGAATCAAACGTACGTCATTCTGTCCGAGTGTTTCTTCCCTATAGCTAACTCGCTTGCAGACAGGATCTCAGGTCTCAGCTGTCCCAGGAACGTGATGCTGCTCGTCACACGGCTCTGCAGAAGGACCTCGAGCTTAAGGAGCTGCGCACCAAGATTGAGAAACTTGTATGTGCTGAGTTCACAAAAATTTCATACTTGCTGACGAAAGTCCTAGAATGAGGATTATGCTAAGACTCGTGAGGTTCTCGTCGCCGCTGAGACGAGCAAAAAGCATCTCGAAGATCAGGTCGAGCAACTGACACGTCATTTACGCGGCAACGAAGAGAAGCTTGCTGTCTACGAGCGAAGAGTTTCTGGTACTCCCGCTGCCTTCAACCATACCAACGAGGGCCTGAGTCGCGAACAACAACTTGAGGCAGAGGTTGCTGACCTCCGGTCCGCCCTCAAGGTCGCCGAAGTTGACCTTGCAACCGCCCGGAGTCATGTTCAGCAGTTCCAAGAGATCAGCCAGGCAAATGAGACTGCACTGGCTACGCTCACCGCTACCTACGACGAGTACAAAGCATCGACTGAGGCGCAACTTGCTCAGCGGGAAGTGAGTAATCTACGCTTTGGCGCTTGAAGTTTTTCTGATGTTTCTTTCCAGTCCGGTTTCAACGCCATGCTAATGAAACTCAACTCCGTTCAACAAGAGCTCGTGCAAATACAGGAGAAGAACGTCGAGTTGCAGCGTACCTTTGAGACAGAACGTACTGCTTGGCAGCAGGATAGGAAGACTCTTGAGGGCACCATCTTCGAGCTCAGCACATCGGAGAGAAGCTCAGACAATGAACGCGCAGCTCGAGAAGAAGAAGTCCGCCAATTCGAGGAGCGCGCACGAGCCGTAGAAGACAGGTATGGTCGAGAGGTTCTTGCCCATGCCGAGGCGATCAAGACCATAGACACGCTCCGTCAGCAGCTGTCCCAGGCCCAAGCGAAAGTGCGCGACAACCTCGCGGCTGCGGAGACCGCGCGGGCTAAGCTTGCTGCGTCTGAGTCCAGCTGGAAGCAGCAGAGGGAAGCTCTTGACAAGGAGATAGCTGATCTCAACGCGAGGATCAAAGATCTCACTACTCAGAACAATCTCCTCCACCAGCATCTTGAGTCTGTCAGCTCTCAGGCTGCGCGCATCCGGGAGGCGGCAGATTCGTCTGCAGCTCCTGTTACCGGCGATGGCGACTCAGCCGAGGATGTAAATACCAAGCTGTCAGAGTTGCGCTCGGTCGTGGCATACTTGCGCAAGGAGAAAGAGATCGTGGATCTGCAGCTTGAGCTCAGCAAGCAAGAAAGCACTCGACTCCGCACTCAAGTTGACCACCTTGATAAGAGCCTTGAGGAGACGAGAAAGACGCTTTCCGAGGCGAGTCCTCGATTGTCTACTTGTTCAATGACGATGTTGCTGACGTCTCCGTATCAGGAACGTGAACGTGCCGTTGAGGCGGCCGCTTCGGAGGCTCAGCATGCAGAGCTGGTTGAGCGGATCAATCAGCTTAGCATCCTCCGCGAGAGCAACGCTACCCTCCGTGCTGAATGCGACTCTCACGCCAAACGCGCCAAGGCTCTGGAGACGAAGCTTCAGCAGCTTTCGAGCGAGCTTGATCCGACCAAGGAGCAGTTGCGGTTAGCTAGAGCCGAGCTTGAAGCACGTAACCAGCAAGTCAGGCAGCTTGAGGAGGAGCTTCGCAGATGGCAGGAGCGTAACGCTTCGCTTCTCAGCAAGGTAAGCGCTCTGGAGGCCTGACGGCATGTTCCTTACTCATGGATGTCCAGTACGACCGCATCGATCCCGCCGAGGTTCAAGTCCTCAAGGAGCAGATTGAGACTATCACCGCTGCGAAGGCCAGCCTCGAAGAGGCACAGAGGCAGCAGCAAGAGAGGGTAGGCAATTTCTTTCTGCCACTCGGCTCTGCATTCTCACATTTGTTCTAGATCACTCAACTCGAGGCGACGAACCGGAGGCACATCGAGACCGGAAAGAAGAATAATGAGATCATGAAGAGGAGGATTGCCACCGTCGAGGCCGAGAAGTCCGAGCAGCTCGGCAAGTTGCAGGCTGAGCTGGAGTCGGTTACTGCGGAGCGGGACACCTTAAAGACCTCCGAGTCGTCTGTTGGCTCTTCTCGTGAGCAGGAGCTAAATGAACAGCTGCAGAGCTTGCAGACGGAAAAGGCTGCACTTGCGGCTCAAGTTACGGAGTTGCAGGCAGCGGCAGCTGTAGCGGCAAGCTCTATTCCAGACGCTGAATTGGCTGCGAAATTGGTAGGTTGCCTCATAGATCAGATGGAACCGATTGCTCAACGTTACTTCGCAGGCGCATATCGAAAAAGAACATAACGAGTTACTTGCAGAGAAGTCTGCTTGGGTCATTGCATCGTCGAGTCCCGCAGGAGCCGAAGGTGTCACGGACGCTGAAAAGGCAGAGCTAACTAAGGCGCGTGACGAGGCTATCGCTCAGGCAAAGGTTAGTCAGGTGTATGCTCTTTATATACTTCATGCCGATTATCTATCACAGGCCGCCACAGAACGTGCTGAACAGCTTATAGCTGAGATTAATAGTCTCAAGTCTTCCATCGTGCGTGATTCCATCTTTAGGCATAGCTCTCTTCTTATTCTTCCATCCAGGATAACCTCAACAAGGAGCGGCAAGAAGTGCGTGCTGCCAGGTTGGCCGAACAGAAGAAGGTTGTTGCAACTATCAAGCAAGCTGTGGAGACCGCGCTCGCGAAGCAGAAGGCTGAGCTCCAGAGCCAAGGCAATACTGAAGCTGTTGCTCGTCACGCCGAGGAGTTGCGCGCTCTAGAGGAGCGACTGAAGAAGCAGCACGAGGAGGAACTCAAGCGTGCAGTCGATGATGCAAAAGCTGCCATTGCGGCCAATCCTGATCAACAAGCAGCCATCGAAGCCGCAGTCTCCGCTCGCCTGCGAGAACTCCAGGAGAAGCACGAGCAGGAAGTGACCGCCGCCATTGATAGGGGCCGGATGGAAGCCACAACCAAGATGAAGCTGAAGGACGCCCAGCTTGTCAGGGCGCAAAACAGGCTCAAAGAACTCGAGGCCGCGCATCAGCAGCTCAAGGCACAGGCTTCCACCCAGAGTCCTGCTGCCGATACTACGCAGCCGGCGCAAGCAGTTGCATCCTCTTCTACCGCGGCTCCGGCCGGTGCGCAAAAGCCTGCAGCCCCGCGTCCGAGCGGACTCCCCCAAAAGCCCGGCGCCGTACCAGCAGGCGCCACTCGCGGGCGAGGAGGAGCTCCGAGGGGTGGCGCGCGCGGCGGAGCGGCTGGTGGTCTCTCCATCCGTGGTGCAGGGGCTCCTGCTGCTGCCGCTGTCTCTGCGGAAGTAGGCCAAACTGTAGCCAGTCCTGTCGATGGCGTCTCTATCATGGGCGCCGCCGGCAAGCGGCCGAGAGAAGATGGTGAAGCTTCGGGAGATGACTCGCTCGCCAAGCGACTAAAGCCAGAAGGTGCTGCTAAGCCAGTGCAGCTGCGCAGGGACCGTGTTCCTCCACCGCCTCCATCTTCGTAGTTGGCGTTATGTTAGATGCTATCTTGCGTATCCCATACATCATCTACTGCCTGTCTCTGTATAATCAACGTGTATGTATTAGGAGCACGAGCCACGGACGTATCATCTTCAAAAGTAGCTCGTTATGCATAATTGAAACGTCTCCGTTGTCCTGGCAATCAAGAACGTCTACTATAGCACTGCGAATGTTTACATCAACGCTGAAGGATAATCGCTGGTAACTGTATCTTCGTAGTTGAGGCGTGTGATCGCCTTGTGGCGCAGAGACTACAATCTCGCTGCGACTCTGTCGCCACTGCGAAGATGGAGCACTGTGAAGATGGAGTCAATCTTCGTGCAGACCTCTGGCTAGTTTTGTTAGCCATGGGCTTAGACGGCATAAATCGATGTCATTTCGTAACGTTATATAGCATGACAGGAGAGCTCTGGAGAATGTCGTCAAGACTCGTGAGGTCATAGCAAAGCCTAAGGGTTGAAACCGGGGGTGATAGCAATAAGATAGCAGCTGAAGATGAGATTGTGTGATGAAGAAAGGCTAAGATGAATGGAAAAGTGGAATGAGAAAGCAAGACGAGAGTTCGAGTCCGTGAAGAGGAATACGAAGGTCGTGAGATTAGGCTACCGCTTGGCGGTCATGGCCTTGATAGCGCGGCGGACGATGCCCACCGGATTCGGACTATCCTCCTTGACCATGGTCGTAAGTTCGGGAGCCGATGCACGTGTCATAGCACCGAATTCATCTGGCGACATGCTGGTCCTGCGCAGATCTTCGCTCGAGACCGGGGGAGGCATAGGTCGCTTGCCGGTAAGGAAAAAGCTGTTGCTGCGCTTGGCCGGAGCCTTCTGCTTGGCTTGGACCGGGGGCGCAGTATTGTCAGACTGGTACCCGAGGCCAACACGTTTGACACCGGTCGTAGACATGAGGAAGCTGGGGCGGAAGTAAATGACTACGTCTGCTGACTGGTGGAATTCACTCACCGATCGTATACGCCCTCGACATGTCTCCTTCCAGGAGTATCCAACGTCACATATCGTGACTGCGGTCTTGCTGGATACGGTTCTACATGGAGGGGTGAGGCAGTGAGGTCGTCGTTTGCTGTTTCCGTCTGAGCTTGAACAACCGCGAAGAGCTCAGAACTTCTGCGAGCAACGGGATCTCGCATGTGCAATGATTTCTCAACCAGCACAGACAATCGAGGAGAAGGGTCGGGCTTGGACACTGCAATATCCGTTAGTCGGTAAGTTTGTCAGAATCAGATATGGGCGGCAGTCGCTCACGCTGTTCAAGCTCAAATTCCAGCCTAGTCACCGGTGTGATTGGCCTGCCCAAGTTGTGCTGCGATCTTGACTTCTCCTTGCGCTGGTCCAAGTCGAAGTCCGGGCTTGGTTTCCTCCTGTTTGCTTCAGGAGACCTCGTCAGAATCGTCGCCCGCCTCATGCGGGTGCGCGTGGGAGTCGTTGGCATCTCCACTATCGTTGGCACCTCCACTATCTCTGGACGGTACACCAAGACTTGATTTGGGTCCTCGTCCGGAATTGTCGGGATGTCAGCTAAGCTCTTGCGCTCTTGGAGAACCGGCTCCTTGAGACGCTGGCTGACGGGCGAACCATTGAGTATCGTTAACGCGTTCTGGTCCGTCCGACCTGTACCGTATTCGTTTGTGAATATCCGATTGGCAGGTAGAATACGACGTGGAACTCGAGTCGAGCGCTGAGATTGATTCATAGCCGATCTAGGAGAGACAGGAGGAGGTCGAGCCACTGGAGCCACTGGCAGTGGTGGAAGTGGCGCGTTAACCGATGCTGCGAAGTTCTGACGAGCGTCCTCAACGACCTCTGTGTTCACCGGTTAGGGATGCTCGAGGATAGCAGCAGCGGACCCACTCTCAACATTCCGAAGCCAGACGGTCATCCGATCTGGCTCATCAGTAGTACCCATTTCTTCGTTTTCTGCTGAACTGTGGACGGCGGGATGTAGTGACGCGTCTGGTACACGATAAGCATAGATTTGGAGATAGCTTAAGAGACCACCTACCTTCACGTAACTCGTCTTCCCAGCTAGAGAAGCTCTCACTACGAGAGTGTGAGTCTCCAGCCCGCTCACCATTGGCAGAGCTTGCTGAGTTAGTCAGTCCAAGGGCTTGCGCTGAGGACTTGTAGAGACGCTTTGTTCGGTCTACGGGAGAAGCTTAGCCACATGAAAAATGCAAAGCTATTATGAACTCACCGATAGACATCCTGAGGCTCTGTCTCAGTATGCTCAGGCTTGATTCATTGTTGGGAGTGCATGGTTCTAAACTGAAATACCGGGACTCCGGTTCTTAATCCAAGGGTCAGTTTAGTGGAACGATTGAGATTAGGTAGAGATGAATTTCACCTTCAATCACAGGGCTCAATGGTGTCGGAGGGACACTATCCGAAGGAGTGGACGTCGAGTCCACCCTGACAGACATTCCTGTGAAGTTCTGTTGGTGGTACGCCTGAAGTTCTCTTGCCCTCTCCTTCTCCGACTCTGCCTCTCTCTGCATCTCCATCTGATGCGCCCTCTCCGCTTCTTCTTCCTCCTTCCGACGATCCAGCTCGATCTCGAGCATACGCTGCCTCTCCATGTCCCGGCGCATCTCTATCTCTTCGCGGTGTTCTCGCTCGCTCGCCCGTTCTTCCCCAGTCCCCTCCTCACTGCTATGCTCCGCCATGCGCTCCAGCTCGCGGAGGCGCTGCCGCTCGCGCTCCCATTCGCGCATGCGATCGAGTACTCCAGGGATGACCGGAGCCGCGTTCTTGCCCTCGTTCTCTCTATCCCCCCGGTTGACACGGGTGCGGTCACCGAGAACAGTTCGCGTCGGAGCATCTTCATTCGTCTTCCTGCCTGTAAGAGAGCCGGAAAGCGGCTTGAGGGCCGGAGAACTAGGCGGGCTGGGCTGTCGCGGGCCAAGCGGTTTGCGCCGCAAAGAGTCAGAGCCCGCCTGTTTGAGGTGGACAGAGGAACTCTTGCGGAGAACTTGGTTCTCCTTATCCTTATCCTTGCCCTTGTCCTTGCTCCTGAACATCAGGGACGCTGCGGGTCGCACCGTCTTCCGCGGGATGTCCTTGGCAGGACTTGTGGGCGAAAGCGCGCCCAGTCCGAGGAGTGAGGGCACTTGTATGCAGCCCTGCTTGTGACTTTGCAACGCGCCGTTGTCCAGTGGCAAGTCCTCCTTCGACTGAGACTGTGACTGAGAACGACCGTGGCGTGCCGTACCCTGACGGCTCAGGCCGAGCACTGCAGAGGACCTCGACTTCTCCCGCTCAAGGTTGCCTTTAGGTGAACTCGTGAGTGAGCGGGCATTCTCCTTGTCATTGGTCAGCGGATCCCGTGAGCGACCTTTCTTGTCCTTAGACCTCTTCTTGGACTTCTCGCAGCGTGCCTCAGAATGCTGATTTTCTTTGTTGGCCTTCGGCCATGATGGTAGGACGCTTTCGGTGCCTTCCTTGTGGCGGGGTTGCCGGTATGGAACGCTATCGAAGATCCGTCGCGGGTCCGCAGTAGGATTAACCTGCGAGTAACTGCCAGATTTTCCTGAATAACGTTGTGTCAGCTCCTTTCATAGCATACGCATATATTGGGTCAGAACTCACTGTGCGCATGAGTACTGGGCTTCGCCTTCGCCTCAGGGGTGTCGCTTTGTTGCCAATATGGATCAGCAATAGCAGCCGCGGCAGTGCAGCGTAGGTCGGCGTTAGGAAGGATCATTCGACGGAGAAGCTTTTCCATTGCAGGAGACATTGTCCATTTGCCAACCCACTTGCCGCGTAGCTGTTGACCAATGATGGATCAATTTATACACCCAGAGCCAGTATCAGTAGAAACATACAGTCAAAGTCCAATACCGATGTAGTTGCTCCTTGGTATTGAACTCTTCACCTTCAATTTTCTCAAAGGGCGTCCGACCAACGAGGATTTCAAAGAAGGTCACACCAAGCGACCATATGTCTGACTTGCGGCTATCGTGCAAATGACCCGCAGACCGTTCTGGCGAAAGGTACTAGAGGCGTGTGAGCATATATCTCAGTGGTTCAGTGCTCGAATTAACCTCGGGAGTACCGTAGCTAAGATTGCTATGGAATGCGTCCGGAGCCTGTGGGTCGTATTGTTTCGCGAAGCCAAAGTCGATTAGAACTGGGACGTTGGCAGGTGTGAGCAGGATGTTAGCTGGTCTGTGTAGTACGTGCAATCAGTATCCAGCCTAGGACACAAACTAAACACATACTTGATGTCGTTGTGTGCAATCCCTCGATTGTGGAGATATTCAACTCCGGAGAGCAGAGAACAGAACCACTCCTTAGCGTACTGTTCCGGTACTTCCACAGACACGAGCCGAGGATGGTACGCCCTTGGAATAACACCGTTATCAGCTGGATAAGACCGCGTGGTGCTTGACTTACATCGTGATGAGTGCATGTGAATCTGAGACAACGAATGAGAAGAAATCGATTATGGATGGATGTCTCAGCGAGGTGACAATCTTCCACTCGTTCCATCTAGGCTCTATCAGCGGGATGAGGGCCGAATGTGGCAATGTGTACTCTTACAGTGATTGCACTCGAGCCTTGGCGGTAGGGGTTCTTGACCTGTGGACGAGTTTTGTGGCAACCTTGACGTCGGTGAGAGGTCTCAGGTGACGGCCATCGGATGGCTCAGCATATGGCATGCAAAGCCAGACGCTCCCCCAGTTGCCGAAACCGATCTGGTCAAAGCGTTCGGTTAATTAGATGAGCAACGTGTGTGCTTGTTCGTACCTCTTCCTTAAAGAGCAGGCGACTGCTAAGATCCTCGTCGTACATAACACGTATGCCTTCCGCCCCAGATGGCGGCGGTGGCGGCGGCAGTGGAGGTAGATTTTTCATGATGATATGTGGGGCGACAGTGGTCATGGCGAAGAAGCTAGCAATGAATTATAGGTATACAAGCGATGAAATAAATCGTTAGACAGAACACAACAGGAGAAACAGCAAGGAGGATAGGGGCTACGGCGACAAAGAACGTGTGGAGAACGGCATTAACGGCGAGGAGAAGACTCCTGTTCAAGTTCAGACGCTTCAATACTCTTGGTTCGACTTGTGCTTTGGTCCAACCAAATAACGCGCTCGTCGGCGCCAAACAAACACGCGTCAAACGCACGGCACGATGTCACGGGTCCGTGCCTGAAGCTGAACCCTAACCTTATCTCCGTATATGTAGGACCATTACCGTTGGGACATTCATCTCTTACATATAGATACTCTGGAATTGCTTACATTACTCTAACATCTGAAGTTTCTTCGTTCGAACCTGAAGTTAAGAAGAAGAGCACAAGACTAGGAGGTTGCAGCCTGAGGACGCTTGCACAACCTTGCAGCAAGATCTCGAGTTGGCATTTGATGTGCGCCGTATGCTCTGGGAAGTGAATGACAGGTCGTTGAAGATATTGACATACGTACCCCCTCAGCTTCCATCCGCGACACCCAATGTTAAATCCTGCGAGAGTCTGCCAGATACCGTGCGATTGACGTGGATAATAAAGGTCACACCAGTCTGGGTTACGGATGCACTCTCGCTGAACGCAATATGGACTCGTCGTTTCTCTTATCTGCGCCTTCTTCCTCTTCTTCGATCTGTGCATCAAGGAGAAGAAAGAGAAGGAGAGCGCACGTGGACTTACTTAATCACGGCGTCGTCGTCGTCGTCGATGGCGGGGAATTATGAAGCAGAAATTGCAGGATAACCGACGCAGCACGGCAAGCGCGATGCGAACTGCTGACTTGCCCATCTTGAATTGCCGCATTCAGGAGATACATTTTTGCATGCATCCAGCTGTATTGATGGCAGGATACTAAGCGAAGAGCGAGCAAGCTCCTAAGTTGAGTGCAGCTGTGGAGGATAGGCGGTCATTGGCCACCAACTGACTGTGAGCGTTTGCTCCGGGGGCGCCGTCGTGAGACGGCGGCTGAGCGAGAGTTTGGCGAATTCGAATGCTCACGCGACCCTCGTCAATTTGATGCGCCTCAACGCCCTCACAGTCCACATAGCCATCTTGCAGTTCCAAGCCCACCTGCGTAACATTTCTGTGCTCGGGAACCAATATTTTCACTTAATTAAGCCATCTGAGAAGTTTCGTGCCTACTTGCGTCCACCATTTGCGCAAGGTGAAGGTCCGTCTAACGCATGTCGAACGTGACTCACGCTCTGTGTGTAATAATTTGCGTTTTATGACATTTGGCACGACTCCTCAGTGATCTGGTGCGTCATCGAAAATGAAATACTAATATAGAAGATTGAATGTGTGTGTATTGTGCCGCGTTGCGCTGTTTCTGTAGAATAAGTTGTGGCGTGGCTCTAGACGAGCCCCAAAATAGAGCTAAAGCTTGTACCCTGTACGACATTCGTCTGCCTACGTGTTATCGCATGCGACAACAAACGTTCAAACGCTGAAAGCTGAGCGTTTGAGTAGCGGACAGCTACACTAGTTCGCCTTTGCTACACCGAATCACACACGGCGCAGTATGCAGAAGAACCGACGCAGCACGGCAGGCGCGACGCGAACGTGATCATAAATTATCACATTCAGGAGATACATTTTTGCATTCCTGCTTAACTTCAGTGCAGGGGAGCCTCTGATGGGTAGCAATGCTCGGATAAGCCCCGGGATTTATTAGCTCTCGTCGAAGGGCGAGCAAGATCCTACATTGGTTTCACTGTTGAACGCAGCTGTGCAGGGACTGGGTGGCCACACTGTCTTCTGACCTCTGAGAGCGTTTGCCTTGGGTGCTGTATGAGGACAAGCGCACTATTCTCGCAATAAGGCAAGATCCGTATTGTGCTGGAATGTATTTGCCTTGCTAGTCTTGCAATGGCCAGCCTCCTCTGTAACCAAAAGTGAGTCCGGGTCGGAGGGTTTCAAGACTCGCGCCGCTGCTTAGCGCTTAGGGTTCGTCTCGGGAGCCTGGCAAGAGTGGTTCAGATCCCCTTCGTAGATGCCACCTTCACGCGCACTGGAGCAGGACCGTATCCACCAGACGAGCTGCAGCTGGCGAGCTGTCTCCCACTGAGTGGTTACGAACTGGAATATCTTGTGGACATTAGATAATGTCCACAACGATGCAGGGCGCCTCGGAGTCACTGATGTGTCTGGCGTTGTTGTGAGACTTGGTCGACGTCGGCAAGCCACGAGAGACCTAGAGGTCATGAAGAATTGAACGCGACAGTCAGTATGGCTCCACGACTTCTCTCATTAGCTCAAGACGACGCGAGTGACTCAGTGTCAGCCTCTCAACATAGCGCTTGGTAATGTCCCCATTCTTATCCGTGGAACGTCCTTGAGTCTCAGTCTGAGCATTCCAGTTCTGGACTCTTGTGCCCTGTGTCTCGCAGATGGTGCGCGATGGGCAGGCGCAGCAGAATAGGGGAGTGTCCGTGCTTCAATCCCGGACGTGCCCATAACGGACGTGATATCTTTGCAGGTCTGGACCTTCGGATAATGACTGAGACGCATGACCAGGATTGCTAGGAAGACGACACGCATACGTCAGAGCGTCTTCATTGCAGCAGTTGTCCCCGTCCTGACATGTTGCACGCCGCATGTCTCAGTGGCAGAGCAGACCAACGGCTGGGTCGAAAGATGGCTGCGCTGTCCCTCTTCCCTACTTAAAGCTCGCCTACTTTTTCTCTTCGCTCCCCACGAACCCGCCTTTCCCTTCAGGCACTCACAAACGCGTCCCCAGATCTCTCGAGTATAGACGACAGACACAATGTCTAGCACCATTCCCATGGGTGGACGCCTCGTCGTGGGCCACGCCAGGGACATCATCGCCCGCGATCGGGCCAGAGCTCTGAAGATGCTGCGAGGACCCCAGCCCCATGGCCCCCCTAGGCACGAAGGCGACTATCACGACCACGACCATCACCACGGTGGTAGCGAGGCCGTTGGCCGCCAACTCGCCACCAGCTCCAGCTCAACCGGCTCCGGCTCTAGTGCCACCGCCCTGCCCTCTGGTGACACTGGTGTTGACGCTACCGATGCTGCAGTTAGTTACACTGTTGAAGTTGGTGTCGGTGATCCCCCAACCAAGTACACACTCATCGTTGACACTGGTCCGTGCCAGCTTTGATTCGCATCTCCGCCACTGCTGACCATGTGAACGCCTAATAGGCAGCTCCAACACCTGGGTCGGTGCTCTGAAGAAGTACATTGTGACTAAGACTAGCAAGAACACCGGTGACACCGTAGTGCGTGCAGCCGTTGTAGTTCCTGCGGCACATGCGGGCTGCTGATCACACGCATAGAATGTCGTCTACGGCACGGGTTTCTTCTCGGGAACAGAGTGTAATTAATGACACAGTCGCTTTAGCATACATCTTTCCTCTCATGTGCACGTCAGATATCGACAAAGTGACCATTAGCCCGAACCTCATCATCGAGCAGCAGTCGATTGGCGTTGCCTCCAAGTCGCAGGACTTCAATGACATCGATGGTATCCTTGGTGTCGGTCCCACGGACCGCACACAAGGCACTGTATCCAACCAAATGGAGGTGCCGACCGTTGTCGACAATCTGGTCTCGCAGAATACGATCCCCACCAACCTTCTCGGCGTCTTCTTCGAGCCCACGACCAAATTAGGAGCCCTGAATGGCGAACTTACCTTTGGAGGAGTCGATAAGAGCAAGTATGCAGCCCACCTGTAGTTACGAGCACATCGATACTCATTTTGCTCGTGTAGGATCACCAGCGACATAACCTTCGTCCCGATCACCACTACCGCGCCTGCGAGCACTTGGTGGGGTATTGAACAGAGCATCTCGTACGGCGGCCATACCCTGACTACAGGCACGACGGGCATCGTCGACACCGGCACCACGCTCCTCCTGCTCGCAACCGAAATGTTCCAGGTGTACCAGAAGGCGACGGGCGGGGTGTTGGACGCGACGACCGGTCTCCTTAAGGTGACCCAGGAGCAGTACGAGAACCTCCAGAGCTTGATTTTCACGATCGGTGCGCCAGAAACTTATTTCTTTGGTATTGCCATATGATTGACACATTCGGATGCACAGGCGGCAAAAAATTCGAGATGACGGCGAACGCCCAGATCTGGCCGCGCTCACAAAGCGCGGTTATCGGCGGCGACACGGACAGCATCTACCTCGTCGTCTCCGACCTCGGCTCCTCTACCCAGCCGGGCTTTCAATTCGTCAGTGCGTATCCTGTACACTTTAGCTTTCCGTCGCACCCGTGCTAACGTACCCCTGCAGATGGCTTCGCGTTCCTACAGCGCTTCTACAGTGCGTTCGACGGTCTCCACGAGCAGGTCGGTTTCGCGACGACCGCGTTTACATACGCGACCACGAACTGAGTATGGTCCTGCGCCCTGGACGGAAGAGACCCAGAATCTGATTGAACGTGTACGATAGCTGACGAGAGACCTGGACTGATCTATAACCATTGGATTACTTGCATGTACTTTTGAATAACAAGATACAGGAAGAAGTTGAAGGCTGACGTAAGCCTGATCAGCAGTGGAGTCGGACATCCCTTGAAAGCAGTATCTACGTGGAGAGCAACCGCGGAACGCCACAATGTCAACGCTGAGCGCTGATCACTCGCTCCCCGATAATTAGCAGCTGTTTACCAAGCCGCCTGGAAACGCCGGTGTACTGAAAATCGCCTTCCATCTGGCGGACCACCCTTCGGGCTTGTCGTCCTGGCTGCAAAAGGCGACGGTCAGCGTTCTTTCATCACGACGAAGCCGTAGGACATGATCATGCCCAGGAGTATTGGCGGTAACAGAAGGCGGAAAGATGTAAACTGCCAACTCGCTAGAAGCTGGTGGTGTCAATGAAGTGCTCTCCCGCATCGAGAAAGATATCGAGAAACTTTAAGGCCTCCTCTTTGGTGCACGTCCCAGCTATACTACTCCGCTTCAAGTTGCAGCCGAGACTCATCGCACCGACCTTGTTCGGCGAGTCCCACGTGCCCGCGCGCAGTGGCTGGTGGCGATCTATGCTCGGTGGTGAAGCAGGCTGGGGGAGGCAGGGAATGACATGACGTGCTTCGACTCGGTCTGAGATCATAGTCAAGTACAGGAGCCCTGGTGTGCCACGAGAGGATGAGCGATCTCCTGTCGAGCGAACAATTCGATACCACTAATGATTGTCTGTGCCATACGACTGAGTAGAACACCAGTCAATTTAGTGAAATATGCTACACGCCGTCGCAAATTTTTTTGGCCAGGGTCTGCGACCATATGGTTAAGCCGTAAATTTCGACGCCCAGCTTGTAGGCATGAATCCGCAGGGACAGCGTACCTGTTGTTCTGGTGACCACCAACAAAGCTAACATGCATGGACGGTAGAATTAACTTCGAACTGGCCGTCGGAACCAACCAGCCTTTGAGTAATGTTTGGCCCTGCAACTGCCCTGTAGAAAATACCATTGCTCAGCTCGCAGGCAGACATGTCCCAGCAGTCTTTCCTATGTCGAGCATACACTACTATACAAGATGTCAAACAAACATACAATCTAGGGAGAAACACAAACCGTCCGAGCGCAGTGCGATACGGTCTCGGGCGGAAGGGTCACCACCTTCCCAATAGCCGCCCTGCACACCAAATTAGCGCACCTCCGCTGACGGGCAGGAGTAATGTCCAGACTCCGATGTCCCACATGATGCGCCTTGCGAGGCGCCGCCGCTGCAGTGTACGTTCCTTGCGTTGGAGTAGCTCATCGTTGTACGAATCGCTGCGGCTGATACCTGGGTGGCTGGGCTGGGCGGGCGTGCCAGGCATCACGATGCTCAGTGGTCGACGGAAGTTGTGAATGACGATGTGAAGGAGGGCTGCGGTGTGGTTAGTAAAATTTTAACCCGTGAGGATACGGAGAACAAACCTGGGACGGTGAATGTGCTGAGCAACGCGAGGATCACGAGGACGTCGCACATCCCGCTTGATGCAGCGCCATACAAGAATGACATGGAGAATGCCACGATAAACAAAACAACTCTGGAGACCGGTAAATTTGTGTGTCGGCGAATGGCAAGAGGAACGGGGAGTGTTGGGACAGTAACGAAGATGGATGGAATCCCGAACATCAGAGTCATGACCGACAAAGCGGTCCAAATGGTGACAAGGGACTTGGATGGCTGCGTCATATTCTGCAGTGCGTGCTGAGAGGTCACTGAGCGTACGTATGCATCAAACGCAGACGAGCTTACCGTAGACGCTTGAGAGCTGAATATCACTGGAGGAAGAATCAACGCGGTAGCGATCACGACGGACAGGAGGGAGAAAATTTTGAAGGACTTTGAACGCTTCTGCTTTGGCATCCCTGGCTGGGAACTGCTCTTCAAGGCAGCGTAGAGCGGAATGGTACATGACGTCGTGTATGTGAACGCGATTATACCTGGAGAAGGGTCAATGTCTATCTTGAAGCGATATGATTGCAAACTCACTCAATCCCTGCAAGAGGGCTGGCGCATGTGCTTCCTGGTGGTCGACAGACATCCCCTTGGCATGTGCATAGGCCACGGAGGCGAGCCAGGTTACATAACTTGCCACAGATAACCATGTCGAGTATATTACAAGGCTTGATGCGAGCGATGGCGCGAAGCACAGCGGGGATATAACAAGTGCAAGGGCCGTTGTTGCGGCGATACGCGGCGGAATGAGGAATTTTTCAGGAATGTAACGCAGGGTGGCATCGGCGCATGCTGTGTTGCAGAGCTGTTAGACATTGGAGACATTTGACGGCATAAGACAACGCACATCTGAGATATACCGCAACCAGCAACACACGCAGCAACGCAGTACTAAAGCGTACGGCCATGCGCACGAAGTAGCGTCTACGTTCCTTGCCTCTTCCTCTCGCCAACGCCTCTAGAAAGACCTCCTCCATGTCCGCACGCCGGACGTACCTCGAGAGCATATACCATATCTGCCTCGAGAACACGCACAAGCCCGCGAAGAAGAAAAGACCGGGGAGAGCAACTGTGAGGGGTAACCGGGCAATGTCGTAGGTTGAGATAAGTGCACCGAGCTTGAGCAGAGGAGAGAGGAGATAGAGGAAGACGGAGAGCGAAGAGAGCGATTCAGTGCTCGTGGACCGCGCAAATGGGCCGTTCTCTTCCTGTTCGTCATCGTCACTGGAGAGCTCGAACGGCGTGGTGTCTAAGTCATCCTGCTGACCGTCCTCACTGACGAATATGAGGGCGGATTCGGAGTCGTCTTCGTGGGAAGGAGAGCGACGGCCGTCTTCGAACGAGTCGGAGCTCATGGTGCGGGGAGGTGGGGGCACGTGTGGGACGGTAGATGGCATGATGGGTAAAAGAGAGTGCTAGCAGATGCGGTCGGTGAACGAGAGGCTTTAGAGTAGCATGCGAGGGCTAGTCGAGGGTTTACCGTAACCGCCTGCGGAAAGGAGGAAACAGCTCAGGCCATTCGAGGTCTGGAGCTCCGGGGTCGACTTCACAAATGGGTCCCGTCCAGAGGCTGTGCACGCAGACGCTCAGGTCTAAATCGGAAAGTCTTCATGTTCGTTGCTCTCTTGTGCAGTTTTCACTCTGTCATACAACTTCTAGGATGACATGGGCGATCTTAGGCACCGCCAGGGTTGATTTATAGTACACGATATGTTACAGATATAAAAGTAAATATTTCACAACCTCTCTCAAGCAAAACTGGGGGATCAGTAGTACCCACGCGGGTTAGGGTAAAGATAGCGCCCGGTATACGCCACGGTCGGAGCGACGTCCATCTACTGCGCAAGTTAGCAGGGTCTCACCCAGCCCGTTTGAATACGTGCCTGTCTCGGTATCCTATGCGCCTCAAACGATGGATCGTAGCTCGTAGATCCTACGAGCCTGTGTACGCCCACTGGTGATCGCTGGCCCGCAGACGGTGCGTACCCAGTATTGGCACCCAGACCAGTCGGGTATGTCGCTGGGGTCGCTACATATGGTACGGTGGGCGCATAATGTGACTGCCCATGCCCGTAGTATGGGCCTGGAGCACTCATTTATAATCCCGATACAGCGGCAGCCTCTGCTGCCCCGGCTGGCATACCATATTGCACTCCAGGACGGACATCTGAGGCACCATACGACGGCGCGACAGGCATGCCATACCGTGCGTACGGCATACTCGCTGTATTGTGCACAATGCCAGCCTGGTATGCTGGGTACGTGCTGCCGACGCCCGCAAAGTCCTGCGCAACGGTCACAGGACGCGGCGGAAGATCGTAGGGATGTGGTGTTATTATAGTCGGCGACGCTACAGCTGCGCTTCCCACGGGGAAAAGTCTCCCTGGACCGGCCGTGGCCATACCTGTGGTGTGAAAACCTGTTACATTTGGCAGAATCAGCGGGGCAAAAGTATTATGTGGGTAAAGCACACGAACTATGCCGTCTGCGCCTATGATGGCGATTGTGTGGGACGGAAACAACATTAGCACCAGGAGGAGCTTCAACAGTGATATGCATGGTCAACAATTGTTTGTCTTGCGGCGTGAATAACGATGAGATGGAAAGTAGATGGTGTTGGATCGGTTACGATTGCATATAGCGTGTACAAGGGCTTCTTATATCCACTGGCTGCGCCAAGCCGAACTGGATCCTCGGGCGGTAGTTGCTAAGCGTTTATATGCAAGTCTTTTGAGCTTCACCACTCAATGTCGAGTCCGGTCTATCACGGACGCGGAGGCAGGAGAACTCGTCTCCGCACTTCTGATATCTGACGCAATGGATCAGGACCAAAGGGGCGACCTGTTTGCGAATGGCAGCACGGGGCCCTGGGATTGAAAGGATTGAGGCACAGTCCTGGGCCGAGCATACTCGTG